CTCTGCTATTCTTCTAAGTACTCCAAAAGTGAAGGGATGTAAAGCGCTTAAAGACGGATAACCGCCCATTAGAGCACTGAAGAGGACGCTGCGAATTGCAGATGTAAACACGGAAACAACTTCAAAGGGAGATGAAGTGCCGAGAAATAGGAGAACTGAGGCTCAAAGCAAGTGATAAGACTTGTCTCTATGTGAAGGGTGTTCACGAAGGAGTTTTGGAAGTTCCAGTTGTATCGGTGTTGAAGACACTGGTAAAGTAGGAACTGATTTGAATTAATTCCGCGTGCATTTGGTTATCTGTAAAGGGAAAAAGGAAACATAATCAAAAAAAATTAGGAATGACTATGTACTTTTCTTGAGCTGCATTCATACTTTGTGGCAGCGCTCACCAGTGTCCACTAGCGTCCCAAGCGTCCGGCAGCGTCATCGACTAGGAAAGACTAGATATCAATCTAGAGTCCGCTAGCGTCTTCCTGCGTCTAACAGCGTGCATCAGCGCTCACCAGTGACCGGGACTAGAGAGTATGGGGAAGTAGGATGTTGCAACCGTACCCTGCTAATGCACAAAATTATGCAGTTTAATGTACGGTGTAATGTAGTTGTACGGTGCGGTTGCACACGCCGCAATTTCACGACGCCTAATCCAGCTGTTTGCTACCTCCTACTTCCCCATACTCTCTACTCTCGGTCGCTGACGGAGCTGGCAGACGCTGGTGGACGCTAGATCGATTCCTATGCTTCCCTTGCCCGAGAAGATGGAAGACGCTGATAGACGCTGGCAGACGCTAGATCGATATCTATACTTTCCTAGTCGCTGACGCTGCCGGACGTTCGGAACGCTAGTGGACGCTAGTAGACGCTGGTGGACGCTGCCGCAAAGTATAAACGCAGCCTTACGTTGCGATCCTGAAGAATAGGAGAATTGAAGAGCAAGAGCCATCAGAATCCATTTAATGTAATCATGGTTTCTTCTTTCTAGCCACATTTCGAAACCCTCCGACGAACCTTTTCCACATAGACCATTCTGTTTTAACTGGCCACTCTCTACTTCTGTTATACATTCTTTTCGCAGTTTTTTTAAACAAGCTACCTTTGCAGCTGTTATCATGATCAAATGCGCTAAAGAGGCCTCTTCACAACCAGCGTAGTGGGCGGATTATACTTACAGGATTCGTATCAGTGTACGCAGACTCGGTGCTTCGGACGATCCCCAGTGAAGGAACGTTATTACTCATCCCCGCCCCATCACCTTTGGATTCGTCTAACTAAGTCTATCCCAGATCACAGCTCTGGTTCGATATAGACATTGTTTGCATTCCTTTAGTAGCAATGCAGTAAATTACTGCACGGGGAAACTCAAAGTTCCCTCAAAGTTTATTAGCATATGTCATGGCAGTGATTTGACTTGAGTAGTAATATGGCAGCGATCGTTTCATCGGCGCGTTGAATACGTCCAGACCGAGGATCTTCCAGTGTGTAGGGAGGGTCCTGAAACTAACTTTTGGAGTTTTGAGCTCAGAGGTGAGTGCTTCTTGAAAATATCGAGTCGCTCCAGCTGATCAAGAGCTCACCTTGGTGTCCAAACGGAAATACCAAGAGTACAAGTGTGTCCCACGTAGAAATGGACGTTGAACGTTACAAAATTCCTCACCGTTTGTGCTTTCGTAGGTCTAGAATGGAATGTTCTCTAGTAGACTTTCCGATGAATTTGAATAAACTGACATTACGCGTAGTAGGGTCAGGAGGTCAGAGTTGCGGAGTCACGCAAAGTTCAAGTCTGAGCCGGCCGGACAGAGTTCATATTTAGTTTGATATCATTCGCATTGGTCGGGGCGGTGTCACGGGGGGGGGGGGGGGGGCACGAAAATGTAATGTCCGTCTCATCGATTCAGGAATATTAAACAATAATGAAAACCTCGGATGATTCGTCCTATACCGCTTGAACCCACTCCGAACTGAATTGCAACGATGCCACCGTACTCATTACAAGTTGCGTGTAACATAGCAATTCAACACACACACACACACACACACACACACACACACACACACACACACACACACACACACACACACACACACACACACACACACACACACACACACACCACGAGACAGTCGTGATCCCTCCAGACGTGCTAGCGTAATTGCGTACGTTTTTTTCAAGCGTGGACGCGAACGGCGCTGCAGGAACGCCCGGTTAGATTCGCGCACCGACTGTCACCACGCTTCCCGAGCCCGCCAAATTTGAATACAAACTGTAGTTTGAAAATATCTCCCAGCGCGCGCCAAATTTAAAACAAAAACAGCAATTTGCTGAAAATTTTTCGCTTACTTAGGCACGCAAGAAACTTATTCAGAAAGCTGTTTCTTCACTGTTCTCCTGTTATTCGCTATTCTGCTACCCCTTTGCGTCCCGAATCACCAACACTGCTAGTGAATACTTCCTAGCCTTCTACAAGCTGTTGTTCCTCAGTTGCCCATTGGATTCTGCTATTCGCTTATTAACTGTAATTTTTTCTGTGTATTCTCATTGTTTCCTGCCTGCTACGCTTTCCTCCACGCCCACAAATCCAACAAGGTAAGACGGTAATTACTCCGCTACTGATTTTAGACAGTTTTCTCTTTTGGCATTGCCAAAATTCCTTTAATTTTCAGCTAAAGCTTTTGTCCCTGAGTGGCGGACGTGCCGCACCCCTTTTTCCTATCGTTCTTTTTTGACGGAATAGCATTTTCATCGTACTTATTTTTCTGAAATACTTATTCCTCTTTTAAATTTCGTTTAAGTCACATCACTGTGTCCGTCTTGCGTTGCTCGGAGGACCCATATAGTCAGGTTTCTTTCGAGCTTTCCATGGGTTGTCGCGAGGAACTGCTATGCGAACCCCTTGTGAAGTCTCGAGATAGCCTGAAAAGGTGCCTGAAGGCCATGCAGAAGTATTTATCCACCGCTGACCTCCCGAACTGTCCGCTTCTCCCTTTCCCTCTGTCATTTCCATTCACCTTGCCTTTATTCCTCCCTCATCTCGTATTGCTTAGGCTTCTTTCGTCCCTCCAACTTCGCGACCAGAGTATGCTCCAGACGAAGGGCCAGCCCTTCGTGAGTAGTGAACACCTCGTCGCATAATGCGTGAGTTACCTTTGCGAGACCTGCCTCCCTAATAATTCCTCGCAGATTTTCACTCATCCGCGAAAGTTGTGATGGACGACTCTGAGAAATAAGTAGGAGTTTTTCTTTACCATAACTTTCTTACATTATGGGAATGTCGCATAAGTAGGAGGAGCCACGTTGATTGCGTCGTTATTAGCCCCAGCGCTAAGTAGATCAAGTAGTCGAGGTGGGTTGAATGGTGAATGGGTAGAAGATTACGAAAGATGCTCTCTCACCTACGAGGTATTTTGTGCATCTTCTGATCGAATAATGGGAGGAGGAAATAAGCAGATGAAGTGAGAGGAGGAATAAAGGAAGGGTGGTAGTGGAAAAGCAGGAAGTAGAAAGGAAAGCGAAAGTTCAGGGAGGCTCAGCGGAGGACAGATATTCCGAGGCCTTAGGCACCTTTTCAGGCTATCTCGAGGCTAATCACAAGGGCTCGCGTACCAGTTCCTCGCGACAACCCATGGAAAGCTCGAAAGAAACCTGACTATATGGGTACTCCGAGCAACAGAAGACGGACACAGTGATGCGACTCAGATGAAAATTCGAAAAAAAGAAAATAAGTTTTTTCAGAATATAAGTGCAGTTCCTGAATGCTAAATGAATGTATATATATCAAGTCGAAAAAAAGAATGAGGAAAAATGATTGAAAGCTTCGCATGCAAAAGAGAAACAATCTCAAAATCAGTCAGTAGTAATGATCACGTCTTACCTGTTAGTTGGTGGCGTGGAGGGGAGAGTAGCAGAACAGTGAAGAATACACAGAAAAAAACTATCTGATAGGAATAGCATGATCCAATGGGCAACTGAAGAACACACTTGTAGAAGGCCAGGAAGTATTCACCAGCAGTGTTGGTGATTCGGGACGCAAAGGGGTAGCAGAATAGCGAATAACAGGAGAACAGTGAAGAAACAGCTTCATGAATAAGTTCTTACTGCTAAGTAAGCGAAAATCTTCAGCAAGTGCTGTTTTGTGTTAAATTTGCGCGCGCGGGAGATAATTCAAACTACAGTTTGAATTCAAATTTGCGCGCGCGTGGTAACAGTCGGGTGCGGAATCTAACCGCGTTCCGGCTGCAGTAGGGGTGGCGGCGATGCTGCATGGTCAGCTGATTTCAGCAATTTATTTTTCTATTTTGCCTGTTATTCTGCTAACTAGACGCCAAAAAGGAAAGGTGAGTTCATAATATTCACTCTAATTTAAGGTTTTATTGTATACTTTCGCTTTTAGTCGCTATTTGACTGTTGTAACGGTGTTTTTGCCCACTTTTTGATTTTGTTTAGGTTTTCTTTGTTTGTAGAATGTTGGACCTGCTCTCCATGGCAGTGTCGTTATGTGTCCCCATCAGTGCCAAGGACACTCTCTGACACTGTTTTGGTAGATGCGGTCTTTCTGAAAGCCACTTGATCGATTTTTGCCGCCGCCCGTTTTCATTCTTTCTTCGGAAAGACCGCATCCTCCAAAACAGTGTCAGAGAGTGTCCTTGGCACTAATGAGGACACATAACGACACTGCCATAGAGAGCAGTCCAACATTCAAAGTACAAACAAGGAAAAAAACTAAACAAAACCAAAA